TGTGTGTGTGTGTGTGTGTGTGTGTTTGTGTTTGGTGCCTCAGGCTGTACAGTCACTGAAACACTGAGCTTAATGGAAACTGTGCTTTTAAAAACCATCAGTGTCTAAATGGATCTCCATCAACCTGAGAAGTGTAACGTTGGCTTTTTAACTATTTAACATAACATAGCAACATATCAAAATGAATCCAATTCGGATTACTACATACCAGTTAGAGATGTGGCCTGGTGAATAGTGCACATGCAATGACTACTGCACAGTGGTGTATAAAGTACCTGAAAACCATACTCAAGTAAAAGTACAGATATCTTACCAGAAAATGTCTTTGGTAGAAGTTGAAGTCACCGTTTAGAATATTACTTGAGTAAAAGTCTTAAAGTATTTATTGTACTTAAGTACGAAAAGTATTTTTTTATCTTAAAAAATTTACTTAAGTATTGAAAGTAAAAGTACAAGTAAATGCAAAATGGAAAAGAAGCAAATAAATTTGATTTTAAAATTAAAATTAAATTAAAATTATTTGATTTTGATGCAATATTTACACTGAAGCTCGCAGGCGGCTATGGTAAGCAAATGTTCAGACACAGCTTGAGTAGCAATATTGTGTTCAATTTTAACTCTTTCTTCCATTTTGTATTTTTGGATAAGAATAAGAAGCACTTCATCTGGTAATTAGTGTCTTTCATTCCAACATAAGAAAACATTTCTGGAATCTGCATCTGAAATAGCATTTAGATGGATTTACACAGTTTCTGAATCTCAGAGTGGACATGGATGCATTTAAACTGCAGTTACAGATGCATAATAATGTTTTGTTTTTAACATAAAACGTTGAATACTGATATTTAAAATTATTTAAAGGGGTCCTATTATGCTTTCACTTTATTTAGTCTAATGTTGCTGTTTGAGCATAATAAAGATCTACAAAGCTCAAAGACCATTTAAAAAGGAGATATTTTATTTAACAGAAATCACTTTTCAAAAACTACAACGAACGACTCGTTTGGACTACAACGCATATTTTCCGGGATTTGTGATATCACAAAGATCGACGAATGGGACGAGACCTGGTTGAGCTGCACTAGAGAAGGCAACGAGACACACTAGCTTTCCCAAGGCAGACGAACTTAAAGTGGTTACTATCATCCGGGTTTAAAATCGCGCTCCAAATTATTTGATTTTGATGCAATATTTACACTGAAGCTCGCAGGCGGCTATGGTAAGGGGCGTGACATTTCCTGACCAGGCGCCGAGTGCTGCCAATCACAACACACACTGGCCCAGCTAACCAATCACAGCACATTTCATATTTCAGAAGGTGGGCCTTCATTTGATACAGGAACTATTCCAGCCGTTCATGCCAGTGTTACAGAGCTGACGAGACGTGAGACGTGCGGATCCATCTGCAAGGCTTTATTGTGGAGAAGACAGAGACGGGGTCATGAAGCAGGCAGGGTCAAACAGGTATATGGTGGGCAAGACACAAGACCAGTCCTAGGGCTAGCGTGGGTCGACGATGGGCAGACAGAGTCAGAAGGGGCAAGACTAAGGGAGAAATCCAGGAAACCAGGCGAAGATCAGAAACCGGGAAAACAGCTAGGCTAGGGCTAAGGCTAAGGCTAGGGCTAAGGCTAAGGCTAAGACAAATGACTAGGGCTAAGGCAAATGACTAGGGCTCCGTAAGGTAGCTATCTCTAGGAGAGTGATAAACGCTGAAACAATACTCGGCAGAGGGAAGGGATCAGAGTGAGTGTTAAATAGTGAGGGAGTGATATGAAACAGCTGGGTGCAATCAGTGTAAACAGGTGTGTGCAATTCGTGCTGAGTGCAATCAGTGCAATGCATGATGGGAAATGTAGGCCGGGGTGATAAAACAAATCAAGACTTTGTAAAAGAGCATAATAGGACCCCTTTAAATCATGAGAAAATGTGAAATTAAAACAGTAGGTGACAGCAAGCGACTGTTAATGAGTGAGTCATTGAGATTCAACCGATTCATTCAAATGGCTGTTTCATTCAGGAACAAAACATTTGACTGTGTTAATGAGTGAATCACTGAATCATTTATTCAACCGATTAGTTAACAAAGCTGATTCATTTGTCGGCGCCGATGTCCTCATGGGCAGCGTGCCGACATGTAGTGCCATTGCGCTTCGGGCGTCCCGAGTTCGAGTCCTGGCTCGTGGACCTTTTCCCACCCCCCTCTCTTTCACCCACTTTACTTCCTGTCAACTTACTGTCCTATCTAAATAAAAAAGGCATAAAACGCCAAAAATAAAACTTAAAAAAAGCTGATTCATTCAATAAGTAAACACCGTCCATTGCTCAGAGACGCAAAACAGTGCTGTGATCTTAGTTTGGAACTATTTTCGTTGGCAAAATTGAGCAAAAATAAGCAATATTATGTCTAAAATGTAAGTCACTTATTGCTTTACTGAACTTGTATAAAATGATTATTAAACGAGTTCATGCTGATATCTGCAGAAAAATGGTACTCTTTGTGTGATATAGATTAAGTTAACTATATTAAATTCTATAAATATAAAAAGCATACAGAAGCATTTTTGCCGTCTACAATTTAGAATGCCTGAAATTTTTAGTTTTAATATACTAATAAATCAACGTGCGTGCACTCTGTGTGCGTGATTTGGTGATATAGCCTACTTGATAATGTCAGATCGCACATCATTACTTACAACAACACTTACCATGTTATCGCAGATGTTATACTGTATCGCACACCCCAGACTCGACTTGAGTGAAAATGAATCATCCGCGGTTGTGCGCGCACTTGTTTGCACAAACCTGCTTTCCTGCAGTCCGTGTTCTTCTGACTTCTGACCATTTTGTAGTAAGTAACCAATATGCTTCGAGGAAATATATCGGAGTAAAAGTATAAATTTTAATTAGGAAATGTAGTGGAGTAAAAGTAAAAGTTGGCTGAAATATAAAAACTCAAGTAAAGTACAGATACTCCCAAAATATGCTTAAGTACTGTAACGAAGTATTATTACTTCGTTACATTACACCACTGCTACTGCAAATGACTACTGACTAATATTAACCTTACCTCTAATTTAAAACACTTCATTTTTAGAAAATAAATACATAACTATATCAATATATAATTTTCATAAAAATTCATAGTTTTAGTAAACCATTTATTTTTTAATTATTTATGTGTTGTTTCTAAAATAAAAACTTTATGGTAACACTTTCTATGAAGCCCATATTTATAATACATAAGGGTACATACATGTATAAGGGTATTCTTAAGGCATTATAATGAATACATAATGTATTATAAAAAAAAACTTATAATATGTTATATCATCTTATAAATAATCATAACAATAATTATAATACATTATAATGCTTACGCATTTGTGGTTATAACATTTAAGAGTATGTTATTTATAACACACAACACCATATTAAATTTACTTTTACATTTATAATGGACTATATATCTTGACATTGTTTATTTAAGATCTGCACAGTATCTTACTGCATCTTGTAAGTGGTTAGGTGTGGAGTGTTATTTGAGTGTTCCCTGTGAGGCTAATATTCATTTTGATGTGAGCTAGTAAAATATTTCAACTGAAAAAAATGCAATGCTTATATGTTAGGTTACATTTTATTTTGATGGTCCCCTTAGTCTATTGACTATAAGCAACTTTGCAACTACGTCAACTAACTCTCATCAGAGTATTAGTAGGCTTAGGTTAAGGTTAGGGTAGGTAGAATGTTGACGTACTTGCAAAGTTACTTATAGTGAGTTTGTCTGTTGGGGACAGCTGTCTAAAGGGTACCATCAAAAGAATCAAACTGATATTACACATTCATCTGATCTGATATCTGATCTTATGGCTGTTTGAGAAAAAAAATATTACTATTATTATTACTATACTTATAAGTGGTCTTTGATTGCTTTAAGTAGCATAAGAAAGATGGCAAGATATGAGACTTTTAATACATTATAACTATGAGAAATATAATCCACTGTAACTTAAGTGGATACAACGTTCACTGTGTGTTAAAAATCATCATACTCTTAAAAGCTATAACCACAAATAAGTAAATATTATAATGCATTAAAACTGTTCTTATGAATATACGCAAGATGATATAACATATTATAAGTTTTTTTTATAATGCATTATGCATTCATTATAATGCCTTAAGAATACCCTTATAATGTATTATAAATATGGACTTCATAGAAAGTGTTACCAAATGTATTTATTAACTATTATGTATTTTATTTTTTAAAAGGCTTCCATCATGTTCAAATTACACCTGCATATTGTGGGGTTTTGCCCAAGTTTTATGCACTTTGCCAAATGTAAATTTAGATTTTCCAAGTTGAATGGAAAGCAGGAAAAGTGCTCATATTGGTGATATAATATTGGTTTGAATTTCTTTGATCAAAAATACAATAAAAACAGTAATATGGTGAAATTTTATTATAATTTAAAATAACTGTTTTCTATTTGAATATATTTTAAAATATAATTTATTCCTGTGATGCAAAGCTGAATTTTCAGGATCATTGGTCTTCAGTGTCACATGATCCTTCAGAAATCTATTATGAAATCAGAATTCTAATATGATGATATAGTGCCCAAGAAACTTGGGTATTTTTTAATCAATGTTGAAAACAGTTGAGTAAATGACTTTGGATAATGTCACTTTTGATCAATTTAATGCATCCTCGATGAATAAAGGTATTGATTTCTTTAAAAAAAACTGACCCCAAACTTAGTACGGTAATGCACATGTGCTTTTTATTTATTTAGATATACAGTATGTTTTATGGATATGGATGTACAGTAAATACGTGTGTGTGTGTTTTGTCTGCAGTACCTTCATCATCGAAAAGCAGCCTCCTCAGGTGCTGAAAACACAAACTAAATTTGCGGCAACAGTGCGTTTGCTGGTAGGTGGCAAACTGAACGTGCACATGAACCCACCGCAGGTCAAAGCCACCATCATCAGCGAACAACAGGCCAAGGCCCTGCTCAAGAACGAAAACACCAGAAAGTGAGCATAAACACAACACATTGTATTTAGTAACTCCTCTGGGTGTTGTTGATGACTCACTGTGAACTGGCCTAATGCGCCCGGAGCTGCTAAAACAAAGCATGTTTCACCAGAAGCCCCCTGATACATCATCCTACTGTACATTTACTAACGCACAATTTTTATGCACAAACCCAATTTTGACCTGAATTTGTCATTTAATGAACCTAGATCTTGGTTAAAATGTCCATCTCCATTTTTTTGTACGACTGTATGCAGAATAATATTTTCTGTATTTGTATGTGTCTGTCTAACAGTGACAGCAGTGGTGAGATCTTGAATAACAACTGTGTGATGGAGTACCACCAGACCACAGGCACTCTCAGTGCACACTTTAGAAACATGGTGAGTGCAGTGTGGCCGTTTAAAGTCTGACTTTAGAGAAAACTCCTATAAGATGAGTGTGTGAACTTGACTGAAGGGGTTTCTAAGTACACTGTCAGCCACCATTTAAGTTTATTCATAATTTACTCTGTACCTGCTTAGAGAACAGAGCTCTATTCTCGAGTATGCATCAACAATGAATTCAGTTAAGCAACACATGACCCTGTAAAGCCTGTCATATAAATCAGTACTCATAAAAATAGAACAGCTTATTAAACCTTTAGATAGATATGATATAATAGGTTGTACAGGGTAGCAATTTATGAGCAAAATATCAAACCAAGTAGTATCTCAGCACTAATGTTTCTTTTAAGAAAATAATTACATTTCTGTGCATTTATCAACCAGAAAGTCTCCAAATAATGCTGCCTTAATTTGTGCAGTATATTATATTTTAAAATTAAAATGAAGTCCAAATTAAAAATTACTTGTGAAATATTTCACTTCAAAAGTGCTTATGCTTTTTTTAAACTTTATTTATAATGAACACTTGGTTAGATAATTTATCTGATTTTACAGTCCTATGTTTTTTTATGCAGTGAATGACATTTGTAAATGTTGCTTGAGTACTTTTTTGGGGGTGTTTTATGTGATAGTGACTCGTGATAAATAAATGTAACTGCTTATATTAAAGTACATATATATTTTTCTCTATTCTTTCTCATGTGTCCTGTAGTCTCTGAAGCGGATCAGGCGTTCAGACCGTCGAGGGGCGGAGTCTGTTACAGAGGAGAAGTTTACCATTTTGTTTGAATCACAGTTCAGTGTTGGGGGAAATGAGCTGGTATTTCAGGTTAAGGTGAGCAAATCACCATTAGTAAACGTTATCTGTCAGGAACCACTTAAAGCAATGCAGCAAAAATATAACAGTTCAATTTCAACGATCCATGCATTAATGACTGTGTAAAATTAGAACCAGTGTTACATTTCAGTTCATTTAGTCAAAATTGATTTTGCAGTAAAAAGCAAACAATTATGGTTTTTATATTAGTGCTGTACATTACTGTTCAGTGTTTGGTGTAGTACAATTTATTTCTGTGATTCTAAAGCTGAATTTTCAGCATCATTACTCCATTCTTCAGTGTCACATGATCCTTCAGAAATCATTCTGTGCTCAAGAGCACCATAATATATGATAAAGTAATTTACAACTCGTTTCATTAATTTTTCTCATCCACTCATTTCTTCCCCCAGACTCTCTCTTTGCCTGTGGTGGTAATTGTCCATGGAAGTCAAGACAACAATGCCACGGCTACCGTTCTGTGGGATAATGCATTTGCTGAACCGGTGAGTTACTGAAACATCAGTGCATCTTTTGGGTGGAAGGTGTAGAGGTTAAAGTTCAGGCCATCATTACTGTGCCCTTGAGCAAAAATACTTAATACCAGGTCGGTTGTGCCTGCAATAGGATCATGAGGCCATTGTATAGCGATATCACATGAAAGTCATGGAAACAATTTCCAAGGTCATGTGGCAATAAATAAAGGTCCTATAACTTAACTATGTTAATCATCACGGCCCTGCCTTGACAACACGCAAGACTCATTCTCCCAACCATACATAATGTAATTTCTCTCCCACTCACCAGGATCTCAAACTCCCCTCAACAAACCTGTCATGTTTCATAGCGTGGGTGTTTATTGGATGGCTGGTGGCGTATGACTCATATCCCTTTATTCTACATACTCTAGCCTTATTCTCTTTAAAGGAACAGTGCATCCATAAATTTAAATCCTGTCATTACTCACCCTCACGTGATTTCAAACCAGTACTTTTTCTACCCTGGAACACAAATGGAGAAGTGAGAGAATAACAATAAAAGCATTATAAAAGTATTCCATAGAAGTCCATTCAGGATTTGCAGGGTTTGTGTAAAATAGCAGATCATCATGAGTTACCAATATGGTTTTCTTCAAGGCAGCAGTATACAGAATATGATAGATATTTATGCAAATCAAGCAGGATGTGACGAGTGAAGGAGTTGATGTAATATATCCCTCTATGCTGTTGCTTTCCTAAAAAGACAACCTTAAAACCAAAGTGATTGTGACCCACTGAGAACCTGCCTAATGAGACACTTTCTAACTGTAAAAGAATGTATGATAATGTACTCATTTTCTTGTTCTCTCTCAGGGACGGGTGCCTTTTATTGTGCCCGACAAGGTGTTGTGGCCGCAGTTGTGTGAGGCTCTGAATATGAAGTACAAGGCAGAGGTGCAATCAAATCGAGGTCTGTCTGAGGAGAATCTTGTCTTTCTCGCTCAGAAAGCCTTCAGCAGCTCCAGCGTCAACCCGGAGGACTACCGCAACATGACCATTACCTGGTCGCAGTTTAACAGGGTAAATACGCTACTCGCGCTCAACCACTGTACTGAACTAAATGACTGTGTTTAGCAGGTCAAAACTCCTCTGTACAATCTATTTGCTATTTGACCCCCATAAACCAACAGTCAATTAGTTTTAGAATGTTTTATCCACTTATTTTAGTGTTTTCTTTGACTAGATAGTTCTTTATACACAAACACACACACTACTGTTCAAAAGTTTTGGGTGAGATTTTTGTTGAAAGAAATATCACCAAGGCTGCATTTATTTGATCAAAAATACAGTAAAACAGTAATATTGTGAAGTAGTTTTACATTTTGAAATAGCTGTTTTCTATTTTAATATGTTTTAAAATATAATTTATTCCTGTGATGGCAGTAAAGCTGAATTTTCAGCATCATTACTCATGTCTTCAGTGTCAGATGATCTTCAGAAATCATTCCAATATGCTGATTTGCTGCTGAAGAACCATTTCTTATTATTATCAATCTTGAAAACATTTGTTCTGCTTATTATTGTGTGCGTTCTTCAGTTTGGAACGACATGAGGCTGAGTAATTAATGATTTTGTTGTTGGGTGAACTATCCCTTTAATGTATCCTTCAAAATATCTTACAGATCCCAAGCTTTTGAAACTGTTTAGTAGGCAAAGTAACTGCCAATACTGGTTTTGAAATGTAAGTTACGGTTTTAAAATAAAATATCAGTCATAATGACACATTCCATGCTGTCACAAATCAAGATCCCTGCATTCAGTTGCGCTCGGTATTGAATATAATTAGTTTTGTACTTCAGTATTACTCATAAAATCATGGTTTTGACAGCTGTACATGAGCTTTGATTAAGCTGAAAGCAGTATGGCCTATTATTTTGTAAAAATTCTGACCGTGACTGTGACCTGCTGTTTGTTACCCAAAAGCACCACCGTTATCGAGCGACGTTCTAACATATGGTTTAATCCCAAACTAGTGTCTCCTCGTTCTGACTTTGTATGAACTTGCTGATTCTCAAAATAAAAAAATGGAATCGATTTTGTTTCATAATTGATGAACTTTGCAACATTGACACTGTTATTGAAATAAATCAAATAAATAAATACAGAACTAAATTGCTGAATTTAGTTCAGTGAATTGAAATTATAACTGCTTTACAACTGAAATAATTTTTTTCAAAACTGATTAATTTTGCAGCATTAAGACTCTTATTTTCCTGCTTTTCTCTGTATTGTATACAATACTATGTAAATAAATGTGACTTGACTATTTATTTCCATGTCTAAATTAAATTCTAAATTCCGAATTTGAACCCGATTGTACATGTTCAAGAGACATCCGTGTGTTTGTGATCTGCCATGCTAACTGTTGAAACGGTCAGGACATAGGACATTGTGTTCTAAGAAATAGAGTGATTAAAGTGAAAGAGATGAAGATGAACGCTTCCTGTCTTCACTCCTAAGTAATGTGACTTTGCTTATGAATCACTGATTAAAAACAGAATGAACATGAGGCAGTGGATCATGCTCTCGTTCAGGCAGTCATGCCTGTGTTTCTTAAGCCCCGAATGTTCCCTTTACCCCCCACACACGTCTAGCTGTTTACTGTCTGATTCATGTCAACTCCATGTCCATTTCCAATGAATGCGTCACTTACGAGGAACACGTACCAGGAATTCAGCAGATAGTTTTTTTCATACTTTCATCATGCTTTAATTTCCATAACTGTTAAAACGTCTGTGAGCAAACAAGCTTCAAACATGCTTTGATGTTTTAGTCTAAGACGTGCTACTAAGGCTTATTTAACACTTTCTTTACACACACTGTATAAAAAGTTAATCTATTTAGGTAAATATTGTAAGTGAACTTAAGGGGATGAAGAAATGGACAATTCTCTGATTATTTACTCACCCTCATGTTGTTCCAAACTTGTGTTTCATTCTTCTGTGCAACATGAAGATATGAGAAGAATATTGGTAACCAAACTGTTATAGTGACCACTGACTTTCTTTATATGGACAAACAAAAAAAATTCTCAAAGTATCTTAATTATTATATAATAGTATATATAAAGTATAAATGATGACAGAATATTTATATTTGGGTGAACTATCCCATAAAAATGTTTCATTATCATATTATACATCCCTAATCTAAACTTAACAACTACCTTAGTAACTATTAATAAGCAGCAAATTAGATGTTTATTGAGGTAAAAGTCATAGTTAATGGTTTGTTAATAGCGAGAATTGGACCTTAAAGTGTGACTGTATCAGCTCTATACAAAGTGTTCCCTTTTTATATCACATTTCTCAAGTTACTAAATATGACAACAAAATCAGCAATAGCAATTTAATAGGTAAGCTCTTGAACGTCAGAGATGTGAAGACCTGTACTGAGAGGTCAGAAAAACACACAGAGACAGAAGTGTGTGTGTACTTACTCTGGCACTACTTGTTTGATCTGTGGTTTGACGTATTCGTCCACAGCTTTAGCGGGAGAGGAGGGATAAAGTTGTAAATGTAAATTAAGCCATATTGTTTTTTCATGCCCTTGTCAGTGCCTACTGGGAAAAGGTCTAAATTAACTGAACCACATAAAAAAAAAACTTTATTTAAAAATAAAAGTTTTTATTACTATTTTGTAGTAGAAAAGCTGCATTGAGATGATTCAGTTTTGTTTCTATTGTACTGTATGTTTTTAGAACTTACAGAATACAAATTTAGGTAAATCTTTGGTTGTTGTGGTTTTTTTCCCAGCATCATTTATTTAGCATCGTTATATTTACTGTGCATGTTAGTCTTTTAAACCTGATTTGTTTAAAACTCGTTGAAAACTTCTGTGTGTATTTGTGTTCTTCATAGGAGAAAGGATGGTGTGGAACCTCATGCCATACACAACCAAAGACTTCTCTATCCGCTCCTTGGCGGATCGCATCAGCGACCTGAATCATCTCCTGTTCCTCTATCCTGACCGGCCCAAAGACGAGGTCTTCTCCAAATACTACACCCCTCCGCTGTGTAAGCTTGATCTCTAATTATCTACATATTATTCATCTTTTTTGACATTATATACACACACACACAGACTATCATTCAAAGGTTTTGGGGTCAGTATATATTTTTTTTTTTGTGACCGTAAAGATAATTGTAATGTTATGAAAGATTTTTGTTTCAAGTATGTTAAAAATGTCTAAAAGCATCTTTTAGTCATCAAAGAATCATGAAAATCAAAGTTTCCACAAAAATATTAAGCAGTACAGCTGTTTTCAAAATGAATAAAAAGATGATATTTTGAGTACACATCATATCAGAATGATTTCTGAAGGATCATGTGACACTGAAGACTGGAGTAATGCTGAAAATTCAGCTTTGCATCACAGGAATTAATTAAATTTTATAATATATTAAAACAGAAAACAGTTATTTTAAATTGTAAAAATATCATAACATATTGCTGTTTTTATTGTATTTTTGATCAAATAAATGCAGCCTTGACATATTTCAAAAACTGAAAAAAAATTTGCAAGCCCAAACTTTTGAATGGTAGTGTATGCATTTATTTATTTATTAAAATATTTATTAAAAATGATTTATATGCACAAATATTACATTAAACATTAAAGGAGTTTTGAAATCTAAGAGAACTAAGAGTGTTAAAAGTTTCGAAATGATTTACTTAAAAGAACAATATGAACCGATTCATGAAAATGAATTAAACTTACCATCTACTTTGAAATCAGGGACACTGTAAAACATCTGTTTTTGCACCTGTATACTCACAAGTCACGACACAAGGAAGGATTGTGAAACTAGTATAACAACACCATCCTTAGGAAAATAATTGTCGTATTAAAAGCACATTAAAATCATCACAGTATGCACAATGTTGCTTATTTTTTAATAGCCTGTAAAAATCATTATATGTACATTGCTAGCCTGTGTGTGTTTATGTCCTTGTGTTTAAATGAGAGTGTAACACTCTTGACTAATCTAGCGTCTTTGTGTTTGTCTGTGTGTGTTCTCATTCACACACAGTGTGAGTCAGTGTTATGTTATGGTTTAGGAATAATCTGTTTATCTTTCCCTCCTCTCCAGCTAAAGCTGTGGACGGATACGTCAAACCACAGATCAAACAAGTAGTGCCAGAGTAAGTACACACACACACACACACACTTCTGTCTCTGTGTGTTTTTTTCTGACCTCTCAGTACAGGTCTTCACATCTCTGACATTCAAGAGCTAACTTGTTAACTCCAGGCGGTAAACCTAATTGCACACTAGCATATTAGCGCTGGCCGGGCTCTGTGGGCAGTTATTGGTTGCCATGGATACTTGAGACTCTCGTTCCACTCCTCAGCATATACTTAGCTTTGTTAGCCTCATTAGCAGCATTATTTATCCATAGGTGGACGACCCCATTGGTCTTGTTAGTGAGCCTTCCACTTCGGTCAAACTCAGCAGGGAGTCGTACACCATCAGACTCAGATAATTCAGTTCTTCTCATCAGCATTCTGAGGGAGCAATTATCAATTTAGCTCTTCATTTTGAGGGTTAGCAAGAGCTCTGACCGCTAGCACCTGCTAGAGTGTGTAGAGTAGTAACAAGCTGTGAACTAGAGCTGAACAGAATGAATGAGCTTTTGTTAGTTATTTTTGAAGCTTTCTGAAGCAACTATTTATGTGTGCGTCTGTGTTCATGCAGGTTTACGACACCCAACCCCGACCCTGCAGCAAACCCCACCTACATGGACCATGCGGCATCTCCAGCTGTCAATCAACCACATGCTTATGGACTCTATCCTCCCATGTGAGTGTTTCTGTCTGCCTGTATGTTTCTGCATCAGGGTTGTTATTAACTAAAAACCCAAACTAATCAAAATAATTTTCATTAATTGAAATAAAATGAAATATTACAAAATTAGAAATGCTGCTTTGGCAAATAACACAAATAAAATAAGTTGAAGTAGTAATATTTCAAAAATTGAAATGTAAATTTTTTTTTAAAGCTACATGTAAAAATTACAAAAAGCACAACATTTTTATTATTTAAGTAATTTGAATATGATTCCCAGTATATGTGTCACGCTACGGTGGAATGAAACGCACAAGGAAGATGATGAGCAATGCAAACAGTCTTTAATAAATCCACACAAGGGTAAATCCAGGACAGAACAGGCAGGAGCACACATAGGGACGTAGTAGACCGGACAGGTGGTGGTGAAGCCCGAGGCGGAGAGCCAAAGATCCAGGGCGACGGGGAGGATCCGGAGGGCCAAGGCAGAGCAGATGGCTCCGGCGACCGAGGCGGAGGCAGGGATCTGGAAGGCTGCGGTGGAGCTGGAGCGACAGAGGACCAAGGTGGAGCCGGGGTGAAGGAGGAGCCTGACGGAGCAGGAGGGATGGAGGGATGAGGTGTAGCCGTAGGAGTGGAGTCCCGAGGTGGCGGATGGTCGACCAAGACCAAGGCTGAGCTGGAGGGAGCTAGGAGCCATGGTGAAGCCGCTGGGTCGAAGGGCCGAGGCGGAGTCTGGGACTCAGAGGCTGGAGGCGGAGACAAAGGATCCTCCAGCCACGACGCCGATGGAGACTGGCAGACCCGCGGCGATCCCACTGCACGGATGGTGAGCTGAGGGGCTGCCAGGAGACAGCGGAGGCGATGGTGAGGACTGATACAGAGGAGGTGGGAGAGGGAGGCTGGGCGGGAGTTCAGAATGCTCAGGAGGATTTGACAGTGTGTGCTGCCCACACACACAC